AAACTGAGAACGCTGTCTGATCCAGGGATGTCTCAGATCACATGGCTTAGGGGAAATCTGAGTAACCCCAGGGAAAGGCAATATGGAATAGACACTTTTCATTTTACCAATTTTATATATATTGTAGGCTTAATAGGTGATATCTTAGAAATTTACAAGTAGTCCTGCCCATCTCACAAGAGACCAGTTAAAGCTTTAGAGATGAAGTTCTATTAATAACTAGTGCCTACGGTGTTTTTTCTGTAACCCTTTTGAGAACTTTGAATGTCACAGATTTCAATGATCGTAGCCAATTATTTTGAGGACTAGCAGATATGGTAAGGAAAAATCAAAGACCTATGACAGTAGGAATACTTGAAGAAAATGGGCAGATCCAAATGGCCTATAACCAATAGACTAAGCCCAAGATACATTTGATTTATCAAATAAGCAAAACACCTTCAGTCTATTCTATAGAGAAAGAATGGTCCTTCTTGCTTGATCAATCTGTCAGCAGCTCCTCGTGTTAGAAACTGGGTGTTTCTTTTAAATTATACAGGTAGAGTATTGATATGTATTAGCTGTGTAACTTAATGCAAGCTACTTAATTTCTCTTAGCTGCAGCCTTTTCACCTTTAAATGGCGACATTCTCTCTCTTACAAGGTTATTTATGAAGGAAGCTTTATGAGTCATCTGGCATGATTTCTAGTAAGTAGACCAAACATTCACTCAAGTATGTGAATACCTCATGCTGCCAGGTGTTTAGAATATAGCAATCACCGAAACAGAGAAGGGTAGTTTGTCTCTTTCCTGCTCTAGAAAGTAAGCTCCGCAAGGACCGGGTATTTATCCATTGCCATATCCCTAGCTCTTATGAACTACACAGCACATACTAAACACTCACATATGTGCATAGTTAACAAATAAATGAAACTTAATTCTAAAGTGATATCAGACAAAAGTTAGTAAAATAAAAAATGTGAAAAGTGCTATGAAGGAAACAGAGGGCTAAGGATGAGAAAACAATAGGGGTGACTTCCATTGGATAAAGTGGTTGGAGATTTTTCTTATTTATCTAAAGAGCTATGGAAAGAGTAGAAGAAAGAGCATCTCAGGCAGAGGGAACTTTACGTGCAAGGGCCCTGAGATGGAAAATCACTGAACCAAGTAGACTAAGTATGCTTAGAACTGGTGAGCAATTGAGAGAATGGCAGGATATGAAGTTGCAAAATCAGAATACAGCATTTATCTGTCTGACAATTGTATCTTTAATGATAGTTTGCTTTTATTTAGTCTTTATATATTTAATTACAAATTACTGATATTTTGTTTAAATCTACCACATTTTTCCATTTGACCATTTGTTTATTTTTATGTCCTTTCTTTCTTTTAGATTTATTAAGTCTTTTTTATTCTTACCGTACCCCCATTGTTATACATTCTTTTACTTTTCTTTTTGTTATTCCACAGTTACAGCATACATCCTTGACTGAGTAAAGCTTAATGTAAATTAGTACATTTACCACTTCTACTTTTTGGACAATATAAAAACATAAAGCTTTTTAAAATTGTATTTACCACCCTCCCCCACCCGCCTCCCCCTGTGATATATTTTATTTTTTATTTATTTTTATTTTTTTGAGACAGAGTCTTGCACTGTGGCCCAGGCTGGAGTGCACTGGCACAGTGTAGGCTCACTGCAACCTCCACCTCCAGGGTTCAAGCGATCCTGCCTCAGCCTCCCGAGTAGCTGGGACTACAGGCGTGTGCCACCACACCCAGCTAATTTTTGTATTCTTAGTAAAGATGGGATTTCACCATGTTGGCCAGTCTGGTCTTTGGGAGGCCAAGGCGGGCAGAGCATGAGGTCAGGGGTTTGAGACCAGACTGGCCAACATGGTGAAATCCCGTCTTTACTAAGAATACAAAAATTAGCTAGGTGTGGTGGCACACGCCACTGCACCCCATGGCCTTTTGTTTATGAATTTTTAGCTCAACACATTTAAGATCCTCGAGACATGACTATTATTACTTTTTGCATATTTATCCTTTCTGTACTAAATTTTTTTCTTGAATCTCTATAGGTTCATTAGAATTAAAATCTAGCAAAACTTTAATTTTGGAATCTGGGATCATTTTTTTTCTCTCTGAAGAACTTCCTTTAGTATTTTCTCAGTATAGATTCTAAAGACAGAGTCTTTCCTTTTTGGTTTCTGAAAAGATTTATTTAGTTTTATTTTTAAGTGATATTTTCACTGTGTACAGAATTTCAAGGTTGGCATTCGTTTTCTTTTAGTACAGTTGATCATTGAACAAGGAGGGCATTAGGAACACTGACCCCTACACAGCTGAAAATTTGTGTGTACCTTTTGACTCCCTTAATTTTTTGTTGTTGTTGTTGTTGTTGTTTGTTTTTGTTTTTTGAGATAGAGTCTCGCTCTGTCACACAGGCTGGAGTGCAATGGTGCGATCTTGGCTCACTGCAACCTCCACCTCCCGGGTTCAAGTGATTCTCCTGCCTCAGCCTCCTGAGTAGTTGGGACTACAGGTAGGCACCACCACACCCAGCTAATTTTTGCATTTTTAGTCGAGACGGGGTTTCACCATGTTGGCCAGGCTGGTCTCGAACTCCTGACCTCGTGATCCACTCATCTCGGCCTCCCAAAGCACTGGGATTACAGGCGTGAGCCAGCGTACCTGGCCCACTCCCTTAAAAATTTAACCACTAATAGCCTATGGTTGGCCAGAAGTCTTACTGATAGCAAACAGAAAATTAACATAATTTGTATGTTATTTGTATTATACACTGTATTCGTACAATAAAGTAAGCTAGAGAAAAGAAAATGGTATTGAGAAAATTATAAGGAAGAGAAAATAGGTGACATAAGTACTGTACTGTATTGATCAATACTGTAAGCTTATGTCATATGTCTTCAAGATGAATAGTTTGCCTGAAATAGTGGGCAACCACAGCTTCAGACCTCAATCTATGGTGTATATCCAAATATTCAACATTTCCTTTTAATGTCATGACTTTTCTCCACTTCTTTTTTTTGAGACAGAGTCTCACTCTGTCACCCAGGCTGGAGTGCAGTGGCGCCATCTCAGCTCATTGCAAGCTCCACCTCCCAGGTTCACGTCATTCTCCTGCCTCAACCTCCTGAGTAGCTGGGACTACAAGTGCCCGCCACCACGTTCTGCTAATTTTTTGTATTTTTAGTAGAGACGGGGTTTCACCGTGTTAGCCATGATAGTCTCCATCTCCTGACCTCGTGATCCACCCGCCTCGGCCTTCCAAAGTGCTGGGATTACAAGCGTGAGCCACTGCGCCTGGCCCTTTTCTCTGCTTCTTGAGCGCAGTTCCAGCACCACTTGGGGCACTTCGTATGATTCCCATGTTTCTTATTCAAGGTTTATGGTATTGCACCAGACACAGTGAAAAAAAAACAAGTGAGAACCGTGAGGGAAAACTTTTTACTGTAATATGCAATTTACTGGAGAGACAACTGCTCGCATGGTAATAATTAGCGTAGCATGACTTTTTTTTTTTTTTCCTTCTTTTTTGAGACAGAGTCTTTCTGTCGCCCATGTTGGAGTGTAGTGGCGCAATCTCGGCTCACTGCAACCTCTCCCTCCTGGTTTCAAGCGATTCTCTGCCTCCGCCTCCCAAGTAACTGGGATTCCAAGAGTGCGTCACCGTGCCGGGCTAATTTTTGCATTTTTTGGTAGAGATGGGGTTTCCTCTTGTTGACCTCCACCCACCTAAGCCTCACAGATTGCTGGGATTACAGGTGTGAGCATGACACATTTTAAGTGTATACTTGCAACACTTGAGCTTACTGCAATAGCCACAGCAGGTGGCTACGAAATTGTTACAGTAGTAAGATAGGTACTATAGTGAATTTTAAGCAGTTATGATTGAATACTGCATCTTTATTTTTGTTTTAAGTTTCTGTCAACAGCAAATGGTGTCATGTATGGTCTGTAAATGTGTGAGAGAAAGTTTTGGTAAATTTTAACTTTTTATAAAAGATGTGTATATTTTAGGATGGTAAATAATAAAATAGACTATGTCTACATATATTTTATGTATTCATGACATACCTTTTAAAAAAATTTTTGCTATTTCTAGGTGATGCAGTTCATCTGTGAGTTTTTCAAATTTCTCCAAATCTCCAAAAAATTTTCTAATATATTTTCTGAGAAAAAATTGCATGTAAGTGGACCCATGCATTTCAAATCCGTGTTTTTCCAGCGTCAGGTGTACTTTAAAGTATGTCAGGAGAGTGGGGATAAAAAAATTCAAAGTATTTTTTTGAGAAAGTGAGCTATCCTCTCACTCAGCAGCAATAATCACAGACAGAAGATTTCTGTGACCAAATGTGTGGGGATTTCTTCCCACCAGCAAGCGAGCAAGCAATCAATTCTGCAGCAGAAACCAGCTAGGTGTCCTCCAATTCAAGTCAATTCTGACACTATTTTCCTGCACATAAAACCACAGATTGAAGCCAGGTGCAGTGGCTCACACCTGTAATCCCAGGACTTTGGGAGGCTGAGGCAGGCGGATTACCTGAGGCCAGGGGTTCAAGACCAGCCTGGCCAACATGATGAAACCCCATCTCTACTAAAAGTACAAAAATTAGCTGGGCATGGTGGCAGGCACCTGTAATCCCAGCTACTTAGGAGGCCGAGGCAGGAGAATTGCTTGAACATGGGAGGCAGAGGTTGCAGTGAGCCGAGATGTGCCACTGTACTCCAGCCTGGGCAACAAGAGTGAAACTCTGTCTCAAAAAGAAAAAAAAAAGCACAGATTGAGGGCTCAGTGCCCAAGACCACCCCTGACCCTCATCAGTCACAAGTCTGGGCCTGTGGAACTTCTGACCTACCAGCTTCAATGTAGAGTTTCTACACTCTCTCTTTGGGTTTAATTTGCTAATTTGCTAGAGCGGCTTGCAGAATTCAGGGAAACTGAATATATGTTTATCAGTTTATTTATTTCCTTGCTTTTTTTTCCTCCTGCTTTTGTTGCACCCTTCAAGGAAAGAGGCCACCAAAAGCCGAGCTGAGGTACCAAGGGACCTTTTTTTCTCTCTTCCCATTGCAAAAGTCACACAAGTGAAGCCAGGTGTAACTATACAGAGCCAAGAGAGTCATTTACTGGTTTATTACAAAGGAGATTACAAAGGATGTAGGTGAAGAAATTCACAGGGCAAGGTATGGGGGAAGAGGTTCAGGGTGTCCATGCCCTCCCTGACCACCAAACTCCAGGAGCCTCCAATGCGTTCAGCTATTCAGAAGCTCTCGAAACCCAGTCTTCTTGTGTCTTTTATGGAGGCTTCATTGGATGGGCATAAACGACAGCTGTGTAGAAATGTGATTAGACACAAAACATATGATCTAATACTAATAAGCTGAGTGGGAAAACCCAGCAAGGTCTATCTATTCAGATTCTTTTTGTCCTCTCTCTGCTGCATTTTTTCCTCCAGGGAATGGGGCAGGACCCCTTCTGAAATGGGGATCTTATGGCCTACAATCACATAAGATAAGTCAGAGAATTTCTTTATGGCCAGCTCCAAGACAGAAAGGCAAGGAAGTTTCTGACTTTGAAAGAGGAGGAGCAGATGAAAGGAGGCAGGAGGTAAGAAAGAGAGATTCTGTTTTCTGAGGCCTGTATCTGAGGTTTTAAGTGCCCCAACATTATAACTAAAGACTGTAACAAGGGATATGGGAGTTATAAGCCAGGAACTATGGACAAAAACATGTATAGAGAGAGATATTATAATATCTATTTATATATCTCTCTCATTATTTCACACATGTCATCTATTTTCTTCTTGTTACCATTGTTTTTGCTGGGAGGTCAGCTGTTATTCTATTTTTTGCTCTTGTGAAGGTAATATGTCTTTTATTCTCTGGTTGTTTATAAGATTTTTCTTTTTTTTAGCTTTTGCAGTGGGACTATGTGTCCAGGGGTGGTTTTCTTTGTACTCTTTTGTTAGAGCTTTGTACAGCTTCTTGAATACATGGCTGGAAGCACCTGTCAGATAACATCAACATCTAGGTATCTATGGGTCTGTCTCTTATTTTAATCAACTTTTGCCCTTTTACATTTCTTCTTTTTATCTGATTGACTGCCAAACATTGTAAATAAAAATTGTAGGCTGGGTGTGGTGGCTCAAGCCTGTAATCCCAGCACTTGGGGAGGCCGAGACAGGTGGATCAAGAGGTCAGGAGATCGAGACCATCCTGGCTAACACGGTGAAACCCCGTCTGTACTAAAAATACAAAAAACTAGCTGGGCGTGGTGGCGAGCGCCTGTAGTCCCAGCTACTCAGGAGGCTGAGGCAGGAGAATGGCGTAAACCCGGGAGGCGGAGCTTGCAGTGAGCTGAGATCCAGCCACTGCACTCCAGCCTGGGGGACAGAGCGAGACCCCGTCTCAAAAAAAAAAAAAAAAAAAAAATTGTAGTTGCGATTTGAGGCTTAGTAGGGTGTTATCTTTCCCCAGAAAGATTTTGCTTTTGTTATTGGCAGAAAGGGTTGAGTTAGATCATCTCTCTGGGTTTAATTTATTTCAGATCTTTCCCCCACATTTTCACTTTCTTTGTAGCTTTCTGATGCCTTCAAATAGTTAAAAAACAAAAATTGTCTAGTTTTTCCAGTTCTCTCAACTGGAAGATTGTTCTGAAACAGTAAAAAATAAATTTTATTCTAAAAACAATAGGAAGATACTAAAAAGTTTTAAGAATTGACATAACCTGATTTCCATTTTAAAATGACCTTAAATTAATTAGTTGTTTTGTCATATCTTTCCTTAAAATGTCCCCAAAGCTTTCTTTTACCTACATTTCTATTGTTATCATCCTGGTCTAAACTCTATCTAAGTCACTAACTTGGATTATTGTTTTTTGGTTTTTTTTGGTTTTGAGACTGAGTCTCTCTGTCTTCCAGGCTGGAGTGCAGTGGCATGATGTCAGCTCACTACAACCTCTGCCTCCCGGGTTCAAGCAATTCTCCTGCCTCAGCCTCCTGAGTAGCTGGGATTACAGGTGCATGTCACCACGCTTGGCTAATTTTTGTATTTTTAGTAGAGACGAGGTTTCACCATGTTGGTCAGGCTGGTCTCAAACTCCTGACCTTGTGATCAGCCCGCCTTGGCCTCCCAAAGTGCTGGGATTACAGGTATGAGCCACCGCACCCGGCCGGATTATTGTTTTTATCTCACTTTCTTGGTTTCCTGAAAATCATCTAACGTATTGATGCTAGATTCTTTATTCAAAGATTTGGTTTCTTTTATGTCTAGATTTGCAAAATAGAAATAGCTATGAAGATCATGTGTGGTGGCTTATGCTTGTAATCCCAGCATTTTGGGAGGACAAGGCAGGTGGATCACTTGAAGTCAGGAGTTCAAGAGCAGCCTGGGCAACATGGAGAAACCCCATCTCTACTAAAAATACAAAACGTAGCTGGCTGTGGTGGCACACACCTGTAATTCCAGGTATTTGGGTGGCTGAGGCATGAGATTTGCTTGAATGGGTGATGCAAAGGTTGCAGTGAACTGAGGTCATGCCACTACCACCAGCCTGGGCAACTGAGAGAGACTGTCTCAAAAAAGAAAAAGCGATGGGATTTTTAAAGTAGCACTATTAGTCACACAGAAAACCAAATCAACTTTTTATTTTTTTGAGACGGAGTCTCACGCTGTCGCCCAGGCTGGAGTGCAGTGGCCAGATCTCAGCTCACTGCAAGCTCTGCCTCCCGGATTCACGCCATTCTCCTGCCTCAGGCTCCCAAGTAGCTGGGACTACAGGCGCCTGCCACTTCGCCCAGCTCATTTTTTGTATTTTTAGTGCAGACGGGGTTTCACTATGTTAGCCAGGATGGTCTTGATCTCCTGACCTCGTGATCCGCCCGTCTCGGCCACTCAAAGTGCTGGGATTACAGGCTTGAGCCACCGGGCCCGGCCCAAAACCAAACCAACTTAAGGTGATTAAGTAACTTGCTGAAAGTTACACGGTTAAGGCAGAGCTACCTGTTGAATCTAGGTCTCTTTAATTTTAGAACTTATATCAATTATTTCATATTATAGCTATGCATTCAAATTATATTCTCTTTAAATGAAGCAGCATTTATATTCTTTTGTTGCTAAAAAAATTCTTAAAATGTAAATAATAATAAAAAGTTAAAACTTTTATCGTTTGTGCTCATTGACGTCAAAGTTGCTTGAGCTGAAGTTGACTAAAGAGTTTTCGAACCAAGTGACTGGTGCTTTCAGAATGGCAGAAACCATTCTGGAAATGAGGCCATCCAGGAGGAAACCTTTCTCTGTGAATGTCTGGTTTTTTGTTTGCTTGTTTGTTTGTTTGTTTGTTTTGTATTTTCTTTTTTTCAATTAGAGATTCAGGGCTTTAAAATCCCATAAATAAAAAGTCCTGGACCGGGCATGGTGGCACACGCCTGTAATCCCAACACTTTGGGAGGCTGAGGCAAGTGCGTCACCTGGGGTCAGGAGTTTGAGACCAGCCTGGCCAACATGGCGAAACTCCATCTCTACTAAAAATACAAAAATTAGCCGGGAGGCTGAGGCAGGAGAATTGCTTGAACCCCGGAAGCGGAGGTTGCAATGAGCCAAGACCGTGCCGTTGTGCCGCTGCAGTCCAGCCTGGGCCATAGAAGAGGACACCGGCTCCAAAAAAAAAAAAAAAAGTCCTGGGTATGGGTAAACAAGGCTATAGAGATAGTTAGCCAAAACAGCATGAGAAATGTATATTCTTTCTTTCACCCATATATTAGTTCCATGATTCTTCTATAATAGGTCTGTAATGCATGAGGAGACTACAAAAAGCCACCATGTTAGGGGTGAAAAAAAGGCAGTCCTTCCAGATGTGGTTGCTAACAGATAATAAAAAACAGTGAAGCCTTGAGCCAAGAAAAGCCCCAGCATGACTTAATATAGACCAAGGTTCCAGAAAGAACTAATTTCTTTCCAAACAAAGAACATGAAGTAAAGCAGAGCTGATCCCTATGCTACTACATTCATTTCAGTTTTATTTCCATCTGTATTTTCAGAGACATTTGACACTAGCCTGTATCATTATTTATATTATTCGAGAATATGAAATTCTAGAATATGAATCCTTTCTATTTATACATCAAGATTTACATTGATTTCATATATATAATCATATTATAATTTTAAAAAGAGGGTATAAGATATAATTTAGTGCTTTGTAATTCCTTATTCATTGATCAATATATATTTTTAAAAGATCAGAGACTTTTTTTCCAAACTAGAGATTATTTTTTAAAAAAACTGTTGTGGGTACATAGTAGGTGTATATACTAATGGGAGTACATGAGATGCCCTGATACAGGTATGTAATGCATCATAATCATATCATGGAAAATAGGATATCTATACCCTCAAGCATTTATCCTTTGTGTTACAAACAGTCTAATTATACTTTTTTACTATGTTAAAATGTACAATTAAATTATTATTTACTATAGTGGCCCAGTTGTGCTATCAAATACTAGGTCTTATTCATTCTTTGTATCTATTTTTATTTTGTACCCATTAACCATCCCCACTTCCTCTCCACCCCTCCACTACCCTTCTCATCCTTTGGTAACCATCCTTCTACTCTCTAGCTCCATGGGTTCAATTGTTTTTATTTTTAGCTCCTACAAATAAGTGCAGACATATGAGTTTGTCTTTCTGTGCCTGACTTATTTCATTTAACAAGACTTCCAATTCCATCCATGTTGCTGCAAATTACAAAATCTTTTTTTTTTTTTTGAGACAGAGTTTTGCTATTGTCACCCAGGCTGGAGTGCAATGGCACGATTTCAGCTCACTGCAACCTCCGCCTCCCAGGTACAAGCAATTCTCCTGCCTCAGCCTCCCAAGTAGCTGGGATTACAGGTGCCTGCCACCATGCCTGGCTAATTTTTCTATTTTTGGTAGAGACAGGGTTTCACTATCTTGGCCATGCTGGTCTTGAAATCCTGACCTCAGGTGATCTGCCCACCTTGGCCTCCCAAAGTGCTGGGATTACAGGCATGAGCCACTGCGCCCAGCCAATCTCATTCTTTTTTACAGCTGACCAGTACTCCATTGTGTGTATGTACACATTTTCTTTATTCATTTAT